AGTGACAAAATGTCCACCCAGCTGAAAGGGACACCCCAGAAGTGCCTTTATATGCCAAAAATGAACTTTCCTGTTTTGTGTCAGACACAATTCCACTAACAAAAGACATGAGTTAATATTCATCTAACTGCAGCTTACTAAGGGAAAAAAATAGTTTCACGGTAAGAAAGTTAATGAAGATAGTAATAATGTCTTCCGAGTAGAAGTTTTCTTCTTAAGGAAGAAACCAAGAATAAATGAATCAATGGCTAGAGTGAACCTTTTCAGTGAAAAAGTCCTTCACTTAGAAAAAGGTTAAAAAAATCCTCTAAGAGTACTAAGAATTTAATTCCTCAATAGCACAACTGAAAGGCAATTGCAGACCTTGATGGTGCTACTGTCCTTTGTGCCTCTCCGAGGTACTGTAGATGCCTTGTGTAAAGAAAGTTAAATGCGCTCTGCTTTTGAGTCTGATGAAGTACACCCAGGCAAGGCAACCTGAAGACTTGACATCTCAGAGTAGCAATTTCTTTTGATGCAGTTACCTTTAGAGAGGCTATTGTTTTCTGTAAGATGTGAGGGGAAACAGGTGAAATCATCCCATCAGTCAAGACCCTGGATAATAGTGCAGTTGTAATTCCACATTAGTCTACCGGTGTATTTGGAAAACATTAATCTGTCTAGGTGTAACGTGAAGTCTTTTCTAAAACTTCTTGGGAAATTTTCATCTAAAATAATAATAAAAAACATCCCAAACTCTAATTTCTCTCCTTGCTTATTTTCTCTTGCTGTTGATATTTTGGTCTTCTCTCTGATTCTCCACTTCATATTTTTCCAGTGTGTACACAGCTCCCTTCTGATGATCCTGAAAGACCCCTTTAAAATATCAAGCTGAGGCTTTGATGACAGATAATGCACAAAAGCCAAAATGAATATACGTGCACACTGCACTAAGCGGGGGGGGAGAAAATTTTAGGACTTAAATTTTTAAATACACACCATCATGTTGCACTAGCTCTGCTGCAGATTTGCTAGGCCTTAAGTCATAAACTATAACAACAACCCCATGAGTATATGCAGGCCATTTGCTTCACATTCATATATTATACAGGGATTTGTTGACTTTACATACCCACTCATTTAGGAGGAACTTGTCATGCTATTCTTGTTTTTATCTGGGGGCTTTAACAAAATATTATGGCACCAACACCACTAAAATGGGAATTAATACATAGTTATATGCTGCAACATTCCACCATGAGTTACACTACCAGTTAAATTAAACACAACATGCTGTTTGAAAAAAATTGCCTATGTCTCAAAGGAAACTTTCTCCCAGAAAGTATCACAGCGATGCACACTCACAGAGTAGGATGACCATTCTGACTAAAAAAAGGTGAAACCTAAGCTATTCACTGAATCTTCTGACACTTTTTGGCCTAACAATCAGTAAGAGAAACAGGAAATTACAGGTTTGTTACACCCGGTCATCAGAATTCAGGAATATCTGCTCTGGTGAGGCCTCGCCTGGAGCCCTGCGTCCAGCTCTGGGGCCCTCAGCACAAGAAGGACATGGAACTGCTGGAGCGGGTCCAGAGGAGGCCACAAAAATGATCCGAGGGCTGGAGCACCTCTGCTACGAGCACAGGCTGAGAGAGTTGGGGTTGTTCAGCCTGGAGAAGGGAAGGCTGCGGGGAGACCTTAGTGCGGCCTTCCAGTACTTAAAGGGGGCCTGTAGGAAGGATGGGGACAAGCTTTTTACCAGGGCCTCTTGCAATAGGACACGGGGTAATGGTTTTAAACTAAAAGAGGGTAGATTCAGAAGAGATATGAGGAAGAAGGTTTTTACAGTGAGGGTGGTGAAGCACTGGAAGGGGTTGCCCAGAGCGGCAGTGGAGGCCCCATCCCTGGGAACATCCCAGGCCAGGTTGGACGGGGCTGTGAGCACCCTGCTCTGGTTAAAGCTGTCCCTGCTCACTGCAGGGGTTGGGCTGGGGGAGCTCTAAAGGTCCCTCCCAACCCAAAGCATTCCATGATTCTGTGATCTGTTAGAACTGGCAACTGTGTTAACTTGTATAAATAATTATTAGAAAACACAAAGAACAAATAAGAGTCTTATTGGACATATTGTAAACTATCTTTAAAATAGTACATATAGTGACACCAGAATCTTTTGACAATTCCGCAATTCTGTTATCTTGGCTCCCTAGAAATACACTACTTTTGGAATGCTGAATAGCTGGCAGAACCCTTCCCTGTAAATGCCCTAAATACCAGTAAACAGTGAAAGACATCAGCATTTACTACCTTAAACCTGCTAGGTAAACCTTACTGCAGAGCCAATGAAATTACATTCCTTGAAACATCTTAAGAATTATTTTTTTCTCAGAACTACTCTTTTCTTTTGATCTTTCATATTTCTCACATAAGGACAACTCAGCACACTCTCTGTTTCCACATCAGTGAAATGAATTCATTCTAGTGGTGACAGCAGCCCTGTGTAGATAAGCATCAGGATCATTATTATGGCATAAAAATGGCGCAGTGTCAAGTACACGTACATTAAGGCTTTTGCATGAGTAAGAAGTAACAAGACCAACTATTTAAATGAGCTGTTTTCTTAAAAGTTGCTACAGATAAAATATTGGGCAATACCAAATTTGTCTGTATTCAACGGGCACTGATGAGAAAGTATTGGGTGCCATAACCACCACTACTGTCCTCATTTTTAGCACTGCTTATTTCCTCAGTCTGCATACACTGCAGCGATGTCACTCTTAGAAATCATTATTACAGCTGACAGACTAGCTGATTGATTTGGCCAAATCATGGGAAGCTTGTTTAAGAGGATAAAAAAAGCTTTATATTGATTTAGCAATCTAAGGTACTTTTAATCAGTTTAAAGAGCATCCATACAAGGTGGTTGTATCAATTTAACTGATCAGTTTAGCAGGATGCATCAATCTAACTGGATCACTGGCTAAACTGATCAGTTAAATTGATACACCTCTTTGTGTACAGAAAACATGATGTTAAATGCACAACTTGCTCCACAGATAAGAAACAGAGTTCCCATAAGATATTTTTACATTTCTCACAGTTTTATATGCAACCCCTCCATGCCTCAGGTTTCCTGTATTTTTAGGGTGCCATATTTACTTCCAGAATTTCACAGACAGCAATATATGAGTGGATGCTATATGGTTTTTCCAATACTTTGAGGGAGCAGCAGACCTACTGCACATGGAGTGCACTGATGATTGGTACGTGTACCATAAATCTGTCACTTCCTCAACTTAACAGGCTTACTATACGACATATATCAAACTTCCAAGGAGGTTCACACTTTCAGCACATGTACTTCTACTGCAAAAGTATTCAGAAATTCCTACACAGGCCAGACAAATGTCCTCAAATTCCTTTCGGACAAAATTTCTGACCAGGGAAAAAAAATATATGTGGAAACCTTTAGGTATATTTGACCCCTACTATAGAACAGAGTTTTACAGTTTTCACATTTGTAAGCATTACCACAGTGCTATGAATTACAAGTGATTTTACCCTAACAATCCCAACAGGGTAGGACTAAGAGTAAAGCACAGCATATGAAAATTAGGATTTTATATTAATAAGCATGACACATGTATCTCTACTTGCAGTTTTCCCAAACTGTAAGAGAACTCACACAAATATCATTTTCAGACGTTGCATGCTTGCTTCCCTAGGTCACTCTGTTCTGTTTCCCAGTAATAGTTCCCAAGAAAGTGTCTGATACCTGGATAACAAGACTTCTTCACCATCTGCAAATTTTTGATTTGTGTATTCTCAGCATTGACAAAAAAAAATTTGTAATGTGGCAGGAGTGGAGGAAGTAGATTCTTAATGGTTAATAACTCAGGATTTGTCACTTAGCTCACTTCAAGAGATTGCCCAGAAACCCATTGTTTCATCTTCCAGCTTGTTTCCCATCAAATTACTATTAAATTATTCATAAATTATTACATAGTTACTTCACATCCCTGCAATACTAATTTTAACAGTTTCAAAGAGCCTGCAATACTAGCTTTCAGGTTTAAAAAATGCACATAAGCAGCAGTAAAATATACAGTATGGATTAACAAAACGAAAATCCACAAAGAGCTTTCCCTTTCTAATATAAACTCTAAAGACTCACCACCCCTTCTGGAATTTAGCAATATCCCATTACCATCAGTTGCTAGCACATCTATCCCTTTCAACACAGGAAAACATAACACACAGATAAAAGTAACCACAAAAATAACCATAAAAATAACGTTCTTGGCATTTCAACAGTTTCCTAATAAATAAAGTAAAAAAGATTTTATCTATGTTTTTTAATGTTACTGCTAACCCCTTCAGTCTCTCAATAAAACTGTGCAGGTTAAAACACAGGATGGCTTCATAACTGCTTCAGGACAGGATAAATGAGCACACCTTGAAATAATAACTAATCAAAGTGCAAGTACTGTGCCATTTGTGGGTAAACTTCTAATTAGTTAAAAAGAAACAAACCTGTCATTGTAGGCTAAAAAGATAAGGAAAAAATAAGCAATACTTAAATAGAATTTTATCGTGAGGAGAATAGTATTAAGCACAACTCCATGTAAAAAAAAATCAGACTCATATATTAAAAAAGAAAAATCTCAGTATTCATTAAGTTAGTACACTCAAGTAAACGTAATTGAGAGATGAGCATTTACTTTTCCAAAATGTATCATGAAAATGAACAGCATGAAGGAAGTGCAGACATTCTGCATATCTAATCCCTTATGCTGCACCAGAACCATTAAAACCACATGAATTTTTTTGTCAAACTGCTTAGGAAGTTCAGAGATGGTCTTAAAACAGTAATTTATCTCAAACTTAGCAGTCTACTAAGACTACAAGTCTACTTTATTCTCTTTAAACCTTAATTAGTGTACTTAAAATGTAAATGGCATTATCAAGTGTAATTAATCATATTTTAGGGTGGGGGTATTTTGAGCTTTCAATTGACTTACATTCGGCTGCTTGGTATAATCTTGTGCCCGTCTCTAAACCATGTCACTTGTGGTCTTGGATAGCTGAGTATATCTAGGAAGTTTATTACTGCAGCTTGTCCTTGAGTCACTGTTTTTCTCTGGTTTGTGTCCAAGAAATTTCCCATATCTGCAAAGAAAAAAATTATACTAAGAGTCCTGGAAGTTCTAGTCTCTCTCCCCATTTCTTTTCAGCAGAGAGAGAAATAACTGTGTTTTACGATAGTCATTGGCATTACTATAATTAGTCAATATGGCACTACAGATCATGAGACAGTTTTGATTAATACAGATTTGGATGAACATAAGGCAAATCAAAGTGCTGCTAGTGCACACAAGAAGTGCATCAGTCAGCAGTACTGCATGGCCTCAGTGTTCTTTTGCAATAACTGAGTGTTTTTAATGGAAAGTGACATTTTAATGGAGGTGTGTTTTGGTTTTTTTAACTAAATCCTTGCACAATATAAAAGAAATTCCTGTGCAATGCAAAGGAATGCAAATGGTATATGTGATTTTATCAAATTTTTGGTCGCCAATTTTTTTTTATCCTTTTACCCATAGCTACACAAATAGACAAGCAACTGTATCATTTGCAGTCAAACCAATGCATAGTGAGATCTTTGTGAGTAAGCCATTATACCCAAATGGATATCAAAATAGCAAGGCTATAGTCATGTTGGTAGCTATTAGTTCTTCTGGCACTACACTACGATTTGAACAGTGCATCTAGATCTCTGACATCTACAAAGGCATCAGCGATATTAAAGAGCAGCTTTAAACAAAAATTTTAATGGAAGAAAGAAAACTACAGTTGCAGAACCTCTGTCTCTGAAGGTTTTATTTCATAGACAAGTTCACCTATCTACATAGAGTCCTTGTAAAAATTCAGTGAACGTTTTCTTCTTGTTTTTCTTTTGCCTTTTGCATCACATTCCTATCCATTAAAATAAACAGGGCTCTAGGCTTCTACTTATTCACCCTCCAAAGAACTTCTGTGCATTTTAATTCACTTTAAACCAAGAAATTGACACACACACATGGAACTATTCTGGTTTCTGCCACTGAAGTCCCTTTTTTTTAAAGACCACAGGTTTCTTTACAAGTTCTCCGCCTCAGAGAGGGATGCAAAGGACATTGAAACACAGAAGACTACTATCAGGTGTGCGGATGGCAGGAGATGAGAAGAGACAGAGCAAGAGCAGAAATTCAAAACACATGGTATTTTAAAGAAGCTTTAATCATCTTTGTGATTTTCAAGTTATTTATTCAGACATAATCAGCATTGTACTTCCTCTGTTGCTCCATATTTCTTACAGATGTAATCAGATCATCTACTTGAAGTTTCAAACGGTGTAGGTGGATCTAATTAACTTCACTGTCATATGATTATTTTAGTCTTCACAATCCGAGAGTTTTTAAGCCCATTCTGTAATTAAGATTTACTCAGCAGTTTTCTCACAAATATCTGTTCCCATTCAGTTAAGTAATATGTTAGCATGTGTTGAGAACATTTTTTAAATTATTTAACAAGTTCCCTGCTACTTCAGAGATCTAGGATGTGGAAAATACCTCAGACCTTTCTACGTGCATGTTATGGTTGTGCCTTTCAATTTTTCACTAGAGATCTTAAGTGCACTGGGAACCATCCTCTATCCAGTGGCAAAACCAATTCATTTCCTGCAAACCCTTCCGAGTTAAACATCTAACATACAGTTCCCCATAGCTCTTGATGACTGGATAAGATTACCCTTGGAATGTTGCTTTCTGATATGTTTTCAAGAATAACCAAAAAGTAAAATATGGTAAAGTATCAGTACTTCATTATGTCCACACAGCTTAAGTCAATTAATTTAGATTGAAAATGTTAAAACACAGAAAACAATCACATGGGATCAGTAGCTGCCCTGGGTAGAGGAGAAAGACGATACGTAAAACTTGTAGAACACTTTAATCTGGGGGAATAAAGTGCAAGCCTGACTGACAAGTTTCACTATAGAAGCCATACAGGTCACTACAGGTTGAAGACCAAAGGTCTCCCAAATCTGCTTTGCTTTGTCTCAGTATCTTTATCAGAGAAAATAAATAAATAAATAGATATAGATAGATAGACTGCTTAATTCAGACAGAGAAATCTTAAGAGAGAGCTTTTTAGCCTTGTTCAGCAATGCAGAACTAGAAATTAAAGGGGGGGGGGCGGAATTAAAACCAAAGAAAATTAAAAAATTGCAGTTCTTTCTCTCTCAAGAACAACCAAACACACACACAAAAACAGCCTGGAGAAACAAAACACTTCACTGCAAATCTTTCCCTCATTCAGAGGGGAATAAAGCTGTCTTTTCAGGAGACAAAATTCTTTAGCAGCAGTATCAAGGTAAAGTATTCCTGTGCTTCCTTCTCACTATTGTTCCCACAAGTACTTCCTCAAGAATTGCTCCCTCCACTCTGCCAGCACAACTGCCTGTACAGCTGCGTAAGGAATCGCATGGGGGGAAAAGAACTATTTTGACAAACCCTACAAAATAATTGTTGCTTTTTTTAAATTTTGGAGAAGTTTCCCAGTCCACAGCTGTACAAACAAGTTCTCCTGCTGAGCCTAAAGGGATAATGTGCTACACTGCGATACAAGAGCCGGAGTGATTAGTGGGACGGAGGAGAAAACGGGTGCATATTTCCCTGGTACTGCTACCAAAGCCTATGTCCCCTGAAAGTACACCTGTAGATGCAACTCCAGAGGCATCTAGGTTAATCTAATGGCTCACTGCTGCAGAACGAGAAGCATCTCACCCTCTCCTTCCCCTGCGCCATCTTCCCCTTCTAGCCTTGTTGAAGGTCCCTCACCTCACTCATAGTCATGCTCACTCGCACCAGCTCTCACTAGAACCTCTGTGACCTGAGATAATTCACTAAACCAGAAGAAGAATAGTCAGAAGAGTACTTGCAAGGGTCTGACACTGATGTCAGAGTGAGCACAAGGTCGCTAGGAGGAGTATACAGCAGGGGCGTAAGTGCTGGTAGAAGGCGGGGAAGGAAAACCCCATTTTAGCACCAGTGGATTTTTACATTAGCTCCCAGCATCTCTCTCTGAAACAATACCACTGAGAGATCAAGCATCAAATTACTGATATTACTGACATTACAGATACAGTAACATAATTTCCTGTAATACAGTAAACTGGTGAACATTATACCAAAACTTACATAGTATCACCTGCAACTGCTTTTATTTTAAAAACACAGGAAATTCCATGTAATTTCCCTCATGACATAGTGATTAACTTCAATCAGTTCCTTGAAATTGGGTTTCTAATAAACAATTCGATTTATCTAGATTCCACTTATCAAGTGACATTTACTACTACTGATTTCCACTTATTGACCCTGAGGAAGAGAAATTTGATCCATGTATCAGATTGCTTACACACAAATCTCTCTTTTTAAAAACTTTTGTTGTTTTTACTTTGAAAATGGAATAAGGCCTAATTTTATTATTATTTCTAAACAAGTTGTTTAGATTATATTTTCTATATGTTAACTGAAAAAAAAAAAGAAAATTAGAGTATGCGATCATTTCTTAGGTCATGTTAACTAGCACTAACTCCTGAGAAAATCACTTTAACATTTCCAAATGGAAGTCAGGTATCTGAAAAATTCTGCATAGTAGAAACTAAAGAGGTACAAACATTGGAGGGTTTGATACAGAAAGGCATTGAGAAGAGACTTTTAAAGTTTGGTTAGCAAGGTTTTCTCTGTGAAACAACTGCTTATTTTGTATAGCAAGAATTATGATCTAAAATCTTCATGGAGCTATCTCTACCATACTGTTTTCTTTCAGATAGCCTCTGCCATCCTCTGGGCTTTTTTGTTTTGTTTTGTTTTGATCAATTGTTTATTTTGTGCTGTATGGCCTTTTTAATCCCTGCATATTCAGGGAAAGGTATAATAGTTTTCTCATGCTACAGCTATGTCCAAAGATCTCGGTTTGATGACTTTGAACAGCTGAAGTTTGCTCTAAAGACTTAATGTTGCACTGCTTTGAACTGTTTCCCAGAAGATAACTAGAGTAAGCATTGAACTTCTTGTGATGCAATAATTTTAAAATTTATTAAATATCATAACTTTTCAGGCTAGAAAATGTTATTGGTATGTTGGGTTTTTACCCACAAAACGCATCGGTTAGCTAATGAATCACAGAATAACTTCCATTCGAACATACATGCCACTTGAACTTCAGATCTTCTTTGCAGCAATGCCCCCATCCTGTTTCGTACGACACACTGATAAAAGCCCGCATCAGACCTCTGCAAAGCTGGGATGACGTACCTATAAGACAGAATGCAGAATTATAGCGCACTTCTTCCTAAAGGCAGGTCAATGCTACTTTATGTGGCATTTCTTATTTCTCCTCTAATATTTTACCCATTGACTCAAATGCTTATTGTATTTTCTCTTACAAACAGCATCCTCATATAATCTCTGGTCTTTGGCTACAATATAGAATTAAAAAAAAAACACTTGAAACACATAAAATATCTTTCAGTCTTAAGATCTACATCTGATAAATATTAATTAGTTCTCCACAAATTCTCTTGAAATACAGACTCAAATGTTTTCCTTAGTTTTATCTACCCTCATTCATAAGGCAAAAACACCTGGTATTTTGTTCAGAGGTGGCACAAGAAGACTACAATCTAAATGTAGGCATTAGGAAGACTTGCAAGAAATATCAGAGCTCTCCAATGAAAAAAAGATGTTTACTACACTGTGTGACCACTGTAACTCAGAAGAATACTGTAAAAGACACAGTGCACTGTACATTGTATTTGTTCTGTCCTTCACTATACTTAAAAAGTCACTTAGTCCACTAATGCTCACCTTCCTCATTCAAGTATATCTGATTACTCAACATGAAAATGAGCTGGTAGGCACAGTTTTAATGTGAATAAAACACATGAATAATATAGATAATGCTGCATTAAACAAACATTAATCAAAGCGCATATTCCCCCGGTCACCTTCTGGAGATATTATGGTAGGATTAATGAAAGCCTTTATGAAAAGATAAGGAAAAAATAAAACTGCTGAATTTTAATCTTCAAAATTTAATTCCACTAAAAGAAAGCATCTCTTCTCATACTCACACATACTATACACACCCACATACAGAGCTTAATATCTGAACAGGATCAGACAGCATAAAAACAAAGGAGGCAGAAGAAATCTAGTTTAAGTGATAAATTAAGACTATAATCACTGCATTATAATTACAATCAAATACACTACAGCAAATAGGTCAGACAGCCAAATGCAGTGAATTAAACCAGAGCCCAACATCATGGACAAATTTCAGCAATCTACTGTGATTCCTAGGAGACCCTGGCTTCCTAAGTATACAAGTTGTAGGCAACTGCATTGTCTGTCTGCCTGTACGCCTAAGCTGACTCCTCCTGACCTCCTCGGGAGCAACCAGCAAATTTTCTCCAGGGATTATGACAATTTGTACTGAGAAGATAAGGAAGACTCAAAATGGTGCTCTGTTTGGGAGATACAGTAAATCCAACAGTCAGCACACAAATACTAGCTGGCCAGTGAGTATATAACTCTGAATTAGCCACGTTGCCCCTTGCCTGATGAGTATGCCATAGGAAACAGAGTGAGAAAGTAGGTGAAAATAGAAGGCATAGGATAGAAATAAATAGGATATAAGGCTTCCCTAGTTCCCTACAGAAAAATTTCCTTCTCTGCCAGGCAGATGATTGTTGCAAACCATCATTACAAAAAAAAAAAAAAAAAAAAAAAAAAAAAAAAAAAAAAGATTCTGGAGTTCATTTTACCAAATAGTTTACAGCTTAACAAGCTTTTCTTCCTCCCATAAAGATTTAGTACTCTACTTGGCTAACATTTATTCCTCTGCTTTTCTATTAAACTGCGCCAAAATTAAAGGCTTCTTTCTTTGGTATTCATCTGTACTAAGAGTAATGCAGAGTTAGTTTTTCTGCCACTAGGACAAAACAAATCAGTCAGATCAGAAGTGTCCTACTTTGGTTTTCTTTTCTGACTTATTAATGTTCCAACGGGAAACATTCTTAATATGTTGCCTGAAGGAAAGGAAATCTAAAAGCTTACAGTGAAAATCCCATCTACCTTGGAAATTCCAAGACAGCCCAAACCTACTGAGCAGCTGGCTTCTCAATGGACCTAGTGGGTAACAATGTGCAGGTAAGGCAAGCAAAATTATTAGAATTAAACGACAAAAGTAAAAAAAAAGAGATACAACATATGTTTACATCATTTGAGACTAACTTGAAAATTACAAACCTGGGCAAGAGATAAATAGATATTAATGGAATTTCTAATTCTGTGTTTACAATTTTAACCAGTCTTTATGCACCTCATATGTCTGGTTATTGTTTTTAAATATACTTTTCTATTGACCTAACAGTCAGAATACTGCTTTTTGTGCTACGCTTTCACCGTTCTACTTATTTTCTGATATGCAAGAAGGGATATAAATAGGGCTTTCTAAATTCAAAATAAGACTTTCTTCCACGGAATGAATTTATAGCAAAAGTTAATACAATTAATACAAGATATAATTTTGCTTTAATTTTGTCTACACTCTAACTTTCAAGATACAAGATCTTCCCATTGTATAGTTGCCAGGAGGCTACTTAAGGTTTCTGGGGATCTGTGCAAGTACTTTAGAAAGTCAGACCAGACAGCTGCTCTCTTTTGAATGAATCAGAAACCAGCTGTTTAAAAGTTTGCATAGAAAGATGTAAAGCAACAAGCATAAAAGAAAGCTTCAAGGGAAGTCCTCCAGAGCATAATATGCTCCATCACCAAGATTACAATGAGTTAGAGTTGAAGGATGAAGTGGTATCAAACACCTAAGGAGAAATGCTAGCTAACGCTTACGCTTCGTTCCTGATTTCAAATTTGCACCCTCATTTTAATTTTGAATGCTCTAAGAGTTAAAAGTGAACCTAGAGGCTACGATTTTTAATGGCCATAATAGTGAAGACAGAATTAAAACCAAATATACTTCATTAGATAGTCAAATACCTTATTATATATTCAAACTTTTTAACAAGGGACTTATGCATCAATTGATCTAACTTCTTTTATATGGCATAAAATTGAAACGTGTCCAATGTTAAAAAACACAAATATAATAATCAGATACTTTTAAGTAGTTTGGGAGGAAAGTGTACTGCTGCTTAGACATAACCTTAGTTTGTTAAATTCAAATAAATTAATATCTTCAGGCCACAAAAGCAAATATGGAAGACACACCTGGTCCAGAACTCAATTCAAAAGAAAACAAAGAAAAAAAAAAAAAAAAGAAAAAAGTCACTGCCTGAGCTTTCAAGACTCTTAACTTATAGACAAAGCCGAAATTGGTACTGCAGTCAGCAATATTGATTTGTTTTCATTACATGTATCTCAGATCACAAAGAATTTATAAGGTTGTTTTATAAATTCTTAATACAAACTAGTGTATGCACAGTCACTATAAAAGCCAGGCTGTGCACATAATCAGCATCATTATACAAAGAAAAGTTGTTCATTCAGGGTCACCAATGTCAAAATGCAAAGACTCCAATTAGTTCTTTACTCACTTGGTGTGTTATAATAAGCTTTGAATATTTTCAGCCTGTTACAATGTAGACATTGCTTTAACTGAGACACACGAAGTAATATCAATTACCAAAAATCTTTGATTGATGATTCAAATTGCAGCAGAAGTCACTTACACAGGAAAGATTCATGCATTTAAACAGAGTATTTACCCAAGAGAACTGCAGAGCAAACTATTATGGGGTCAAAGTTTAAATTTTGCAACTGGAATTTTTATGTCTAAGCATATCTTTTCCTTGCTTTCATTCATCCTAATGCACCTATGCCACATAATCCTTTTTGGAAGCTTAAAGCTTTGCATTTCTATAGATCAAAATCCTCTTTGGCTTATCTCTGACTGTGGTATAGTAGTAGTAGTAGTAGTAGGGATGCAACTTCTAAATCAATATTTTCTATCAATGTTATTTTATTATTATAAACCAGTAGTTCCCTATCTTCTTAATCATCTCTGCAGATGTTTTAATTAGTAACAGAGAAAAGAATAATATAAAAAAAAGCAAAATTAATAAATATAACTTGTATCATGACCTGATGTTCACTAGACAAAATTAAGCCCAATGATAAGAAACAAGGTACTGTATGCAGGTACTTATACATACAGCTTGGGAAAGGTGTTCCAATACACTGATTCTAACTTATACTGCAATACACAGTAAAATTACAATTTTGTATTAGGATGTGCATTTATTTAAGAAATACCATGGCATTCTGGTCTTAGTTCAAAATGTGACATGTTCTTATTCAGGTTTCTCCTAGTATCCTGAAACGTAAGTCTCTCAGTGAGTGGCACGTCTACAAAGCTTGAGTTCTAACCTTTGTTTTTTGTTGATTCCACCTTGTTTATGTGTTTTGTCCTCCCACACCATTTCTTTGTCTTACTTTCTCAGCATCTTACACGGTTAAGAGCTGTTGTCAGCTCCCTCTACCAACAAACTACAACAGACTCTGCTGTTGTTGATCAAAACAAGTGGCATTTACACAAAGCGATGCTCAAACCTTCTGTGATCAATTGTGCTATTAGAGATTTTTTTTATTTTCTAGAAAGTTTCACAAATCTCTTCTATATGTGTGTATAGCTCATTTTGAGGTATCAGCGTATCTCAAGGCTTGAAAACAGCAACCACTAATAGATGCAATTACTCAGAACTAAGTGGTCTCATCTAAATCAAAAGTCTTTAATTTCTAGGAAAGTTCACACAGAACTATATGTTTGGTCTGAAACACAGTTGCTAAAAGCTTTATGTGCTAAATGACCCCCAAATTTTTAAAACTTTATTTAAGGGACTTTTTTTCCTACTGCTCTGTAAATGTAAATAATATCGAAAATAGAGCTAATGTTAGGTTACAATTTTTTGGAAATCTTTGAGAAAAGTAATTATGGACTACCTTGTGTAACAATACAGAACTCTGTATCATTATCTGCATTTTTATACTAATCTATACCGTAATTTCTGTCTATAGTGATGGAGCACAACTTTTGCCTACCTTAAGCAATGCAATTACAAAAGTGCAGTATTTAGCTTGGTTTGCTAAAGATACAAGTGTTACGCAAGGGCTCCGTCTGTCACATACCCACCCCTTGTAACTTCTGAATTCACTAGGTAATTTCAACAAAATTTTAAAGCAATAAATAAGTTGCATAAATATTAAATTTCTATAAGATTATAGAAATTGCCAGTTGCATAGGGGAGACTCAGTTAATGCTCCCATTAAAGAAAAGCAGACAAAACTTGGCTGTTTTACACTTTGATATTTGGCCAGCCATCTGCTGCCTATCAGCACAAACGTAGCTCTGATTAGCCACAGTATGGTTTTTCTCTTGCTTGATGACATGTCTTGCAGAACGGGGAGGGAGTTAGTGAGGTCTTGGGAGGAAAGTGCATATTCGCAGAACAGTTTGTTAAAACTACAAGATTAATTTTCGTGTTCCCAGAAATGAAACCGAAAGTTTCATATGCAATTTAAGATAGACCACATTCGTCTAGATCTTACTGAAAAGAATAGTCCCATTGAGCTTAGGTTTGTTCAAGGATAAGTAGCACATCATACGTAACATTTAGCTAAGGAATATGCCTGCTATTTATTGCAAATGCATGTAAGGTTACATCTCTAGCAAAAAGCATTTTTGGTACTTAAAAATTCTGTGTTAAGACCCTTGTTTTGAAGTGGGAAATATCATTTTTAGCAAAGGAGATTATCTCATAGAGATCTTACTTGTTTACAAAAACCAGTCATCTTTCACGATAAAAAACATTGTCGAAGTATCAGTATCTCCCAAGCTGGTTTGAGGTATTGGGGATTTTTTGGGGGGAGGGTGTTTGTTTGGGGTTTTTTTTGCAATTACACTTAGAGAAGGCTATTATATAGCTTTTATTTACTTATATTCACTGGAGTAGGCGGTTATTTCACTGTCATTGCGTAACCACTTAAATTCCAAGGGCCAGCTGCCTTCGGCAAGGCATGTAAGTACGAGGCGATTTCCTTCCAAGTGTATCTGGGGCAAGCCTGGTTCAGTCTTGAAGTATGGTGCAACATCATCTGAAACACAGAGAGAAAATGGGTTTGTAAGCTATTTAAGTCAGTATAGTATAAGCCACCAATATTTAACTCATTTCTTCTCAAAATGGCCATCGTAAAACAAGAGACAACATGATTCAGTAGTTAAGGCTTGCACTGTTACATTCCTAACTAGTCTTTATCTTTAGAGGCAGAATTCACAAGATCTTGATAACCTTAGTCCTTGGTACTCATTTAGAAGAGAAGTGCCCGCTCAGACAAGCTTTTGTCCATGTTTACTGTTTATATATATGAGAATTTCAGCATTGTCTACTGTGGCAGGCAGTGAACAGCCCTATTGGCTTTTTTCTTTTTCCCCCTCTCTCCTCTGTGAGGATTAAATCCACTCAAAGCTTTTTTTTATTTCTTGAATGGAAACCAGAAGAGTAATCTTGAATATAAATTATTATCACAGCAGGGGAAGTCTCAGGGTAAATGAAGAATTTTGATAGAAAAAAGAGTTTAGAAAAAAACACCTCACAAAATCGCAAGATTAATGTGTTTTTCAATGTTATTGCCAACCAAAATGTATTAAATTATATTACCTGAAACCACTAACAGATTTTTAATTAGGGTACTTCAATAATGTTCAAGGGTCACATGTAGTCTCAAACTCTTGTTCTCCTGTGGATTACAAATGCTCAAAATACTCGAAGCAGCAAAATTCTCGACTGGTAAATTGCCAAAGCTCCACTCAAACGCAGATTTATTACAAGTCTACACCTGCTGGAGACCCACCCCTTGTCACCCCTGGAAGATGAAGGTTTTCACACTTTACACATCAAATTTCTACTTGTAACTATGTAGGAACTACAGACTTAATCTTGGAGGTTTACAAATACCTTCTATAATCAAAATTGACGTGTTTATGTATGTATATGTATAACAAATACACAAGTTACATTCAAAGTCAGCGATTTAATACAAAATATGGAACAATATTTAATAGGTAGACATTACTGCACTCTGCTATTTAGGAGTGCAGTGTGTGTGTGTATTTTATATATAAAGTAACAAAAAAAAAAGATACACAAATGTTGTCCAAGTGCAACTAACCGTTCAGTTAAGTCGTTAATCTTTCTTTTAAAACCTATTTTAGATTAAGTTCGGGTATTTTTATACTTGCTATTTAAAGACTTTAAGCTATCTTTTACAGTTTATGGGGAAGTGACCTCACGTACTATTCAAGGCCGTCTGAAATCTTTGAATCCACAGGTCGCATACTATAATCTTTAATAGTTGATAGCCATAAGAGAGCAACCACAGACATTAGGGAAGAAGGAGCTCAAGGCAAGGGGTCAAGGTGTTCCACCGAAGATTGGGACGGCAGCGAGCATGCAGCTGGGCCTGGTGACATCAACCTCTCCCAGCCCTTATCTTCCACTTTGCCTCTTACCAGGGAATTTTTATTATTTAGCAGACCACATGGCAACACAGACTCATTATCGCCTGATCGTACAGTCCCAAGGTAGCAGCTGCGCTTCAGCTGACCGTGGTCAAGGAGTCACGGGTTGACTGTTGCCAAACTACTGGCTACAATTGGCTGTAAAGTTGAACATCAGCTGCATACACATTTGATGATTTGTATTGACAAGGCGCCTGCCTAGCTTTTAGAATTTAACTTCAGAAAGATACAGTTATTTCTGCAGGAAAAAAGCACATCATCTTAAGGCAATTCTTATAGACTATTGCACAAAATCTGACCTAACCAACTGAATTAAAAAAATGTATTTTAGGGTAAGGCCCTTTCCTGATTTGTAGCATTTTAAACAATTTGGTTTTCAAACAAACTGATTAATGGCTAGGGCAGATCAGTAATATTTTCTTTAAGCTGGATATACAGGAAGGCATGACAATTCAACACATGAGAAAATAGGAACAGTTCAAACTAGCAGATAGTCTCAGGCAAAGCAAAGATGGGTTTTGCACTTCTCCACTCTATTACGTGACTGAGATTATATTCTGCAGAGCTGCTTTTTTTTTGTTTTAGTGACTGCAAATACTGTGAAGAAGTCTTATCTCAATTCCCATTTTCTCCTAACTAGTAAAATCAACCAATATTTTAAAACTTTATGAAGAAAAATTTAAGTCAGAGTTAACGATGTTAGAGTGAATACAGTTATTTTATCCAGAGCAAATTTTTAACAAAGATATTTCTAAACAAGTGAGGAAATGTTAAATCCTTTCAGAGGCTTCACATATATTTTGGGGAGTCTCCCAAGGGAGTTACAGGACAGAGACTCTGCCCTTACAGGATTAAAGGTGTCAGGCTTCCTCTGGAGATGTAAAGGCAGTGGCAGGGAATTGCGCTGGTATTTAGGGGAAGGGTTGTAACAGAGTCCAACCGGTAAATTGAAATGCCTAGTGCCGAGTCCCCTAAAAACGATGACATTTACCTGCTAGTACCTAAAGGCCGATGAAATGAGCTTGTTAAACTATTCCTTCCTGAAGAAAGTTGAGCCATTCAGAGAGATTACAATGAAACTGGTATCTGCACTACCAACCTCTACCCCAGGGTTGATCCTGTTTTTCAGTGATTTAAAGACTCAAGCAGCATAACTGCCTTCATTATTTCACTCTGAATTATCCACTTACTCCTTCTAACTTACGTCTTTCCAAGAACAAATGATTTATTTGAAAGACAAGGATGGCTGCCCACAAGTCTGTCATTCAGCCCTGCATTTCCTACTCAAATATTCCAAACCCAGTGATGCTGCAACCCCCTCAGAGCTATCTCCCATTTAAAATATCACAATCGAGCTGGTACTACATGAAAATGATTCTCAAAATTCAATCCAATTCTGGTAGAAGCTAAAATTTAATAGACCTATGGGAATATTTTTATAAAGAATATAGCATGCTTTATAAATTACCCCAGCTCTCTGGAAGATTTGCTTAAACCCTTGAAGTAATTTTGTCTTCTAATCTTTTATTCCTGACTTTCTCATCAATCACATACCATCAGTTTATCAAATTCAATTATGTAATCAGAGCTCACTAAATATTCACTGAAAGCAGAAATTAAAATAGAATACTGAGCAAATACTCCATGAAGACAGGTAGCAGTAAAACTTTGGTGACTTTGGCATTTCTGTGGCACAGTGCTGCTCACACCTCAGACACATGATCAAAACAGTGCTGCACCCTAAGCTTTACAACTTTAAGCTGTAATGGAAAGTTGAATTTTAAACCAGACCTACATGGACAAGTTTGGTTGTTATAGAGCATCCCAGGGAAACAGGAAAATTGGCAGGAAAAATGAAAGCCATCTCAGAAAGAAAATTGTAGGAAAGAAATAACTGGCTAAGGGAAGGAAGAAACAAGGGGGTCATTTAATAGGTGTGTGATCCTTGCACTTTACTAATTAAATACAGGAAGGGCTCACCATAAGGCTAACCTTGGCCAATCAAGGGTTTAGAAGCCATGAAAGCATCTCAGTTTTTATTCTCCTGAAGGATGGAGCAAAAAGCTAATAAAAAGCCTATCTGAGTCCTAGAAACAGGAATAATAAAATACTGGAATTAATATTCTTAGCTAAAATAGTTCTCTGTCTACAAAAAGGAGAAAAAAAAAAAAAAGCAAGCAAGCATGCTATACTCCGTTGCTTTCTTCTACATGCTAAATGTGTTAATACCTCCAGCCTCTTTGGCTCTTCAGCTACGCTGATTTAAAAATAATAATAACAAAAAAATTATCAGAGTTGCAAGGAGGAGTGAAAGGATAAGGCGCCAATCTGTTGGCACATATAAACAGCTTCTACAAATTTTCATTAAGTCTGCTTACCAAACTCACTAACATCCCGACTAGTATCTTTAAAAGCATGGTGCAGATTTATTTTTATGTAAATCTCAAGAAAAAATAGGATCGAATATGCCAAAATTATCTGGAAATTTTCTCCAAAACATATCTGCCTTGCTTTTGCAGATCATTAAACTGCAAGAGTTCCACTATACTGCCAAGTTAGCCCATCTTATTTTCTGTCCTTGGTACATGCAAAGCTTAGAGGGATTTTATCTCAAAATATATTTTCAGGACCTAATTCAACAATTCCCATACGCTTTTGTTTGGATTAATGCAGACATTTAAATATAAAAGTGGTGCTGTACGCAATTGTTATCTGCTTTGGGCTTCTCCCCAGCCCTAGCAGATGAGATGCATCACAGAAAAGCTGAGAGCTCGCTCATACTCTCTTCTCCCCGAAAATCATGTTCAGGCACGAACCTACAAATACAATCTGTAAGAGGAGAAGGCAGTCTGACTGTACAGCTTTGTACTGAATGGAATGAAAACAAAAATTCCACCAGTTGCTGCTCATTAGTTAACCAAGGGAACCTAATCTCATAAGGATAGCGTGAGTGAACATGACTTCAGAACCTGAGAAGAGTACCATCCCAGGGACCTCAAACATACCCTCTAATAAACACATTAACAAAGTTTGGTTAATGATTCTTAGCCCTCTCACAGCTTACCTTTGTAAAATACATAAACCAAAGTCAGATTAAATAGATCTTCCAGTTACTACAGGGTACTATGAGACCTTGAAAGCAGTCTTGCAGTCCTATCCCTCAGGAATTCATATATTTTAATTACAGATGCAATCTGATCTTGAACACTTCTATTCTACTGAGAAAAGGAAAGTTACCATACTCCAGAGAAATACCAGACTACTTTCATCAGTGAAAACCACTGCAACTACCCTGTTAAAATCTCAGCATTTTTTTCTCCAGGAATGTGAGATACCAAAAGTTACAGGTAAAATCATGTGCTCACATCTTGGGAAAATCAGTTACTGTAGTCCTGAACACACTCAGAGGAATAATAATGTAGTGAGTGCAGAGAACAGCTTCAGAGATCCCCACTGCCATTGCTATTTGTCTTTGTTATGTATCTCTACTTTTAAGTCATTTTTAGGTGAGCCAATATTGAATATTAAATGTAGTTTAACCTGTTCATAAATCAGCAAGCCAGAGCAAATACAGCTCAATCACTAACAAATATCATTTGAGCAGCTGTCTTTCCATTGCTCAGTTCACCCAACAGATACGATATCAAAAATAAATTTTTGACTGAGATACATTTTTCAATAAACCCAAACAAAAATACAATTGGTTTATTAAAAAGCACACCTACGTTGATTTTAGTTTATTAGTCCCTAGTCCAAGCATGATGTACTTTCGTCATATGCATGGCTAACGCCACAATCACTTGACACAGAAAAATAAAGAACAGAATATATCTGACGAATTGTCCAGGAAAATGAGACTAGATAAATAATTACATACAGAGGCTGAACGATCAGCCCAGGAGAAGAGCAACGATATAGAAATGCTTTTGCTCTAGTTGTTTGCGAGGAAAAGCGATGTGAGCCATCTTCAGGTAGGTTAATGATAACTGCCATAAAAAGAATATTTTAAAAGATCTGTCTGGGGGATTGAATGCGTAATACAAAAGTATAGTTAAATTAAAAAGGAAGCCAGAGTCAGAAAACCCAAGCTAAAGACAGGAAGAATCTTTTCAGTAACCCAAAGAAAGCAGGTACAGCCTCGGACAGCAGAATCCCATCAAGAAGAGATTCGAGTTCAGCTGTGACATTGACAAGCTGATGCTTCAGAGCGCATACAGTTGGGTAGGAGCCGCTCTGTACTGATTGACAGCTGATAACTGCAACCATCTGGGGAATCAGGACCATTTTCTTCTTATTCCCAACTTGAATACGGAAAAGTTTTTTCTCTTTTTCCTTTTCAAAAGGACCTTTTCATCTTATTATCTTAGTTCCTGATATGCATGCATACATGTGCTAGTTCTGGATCCAAGTTGTATTCTCTTGTGGAAATAAACTTCAATAGCTTATACTGCATAAGAATTCAGAATTATTACATAGTAAATCTTGGGAAATGTACCAGGAAGTCAGATTGAACTCAGATATATTTGAATCAATCTTCTTTTGAATTCAAACCTTCTAAAATGCATTGGTGAGATGCTGTGAAAGTTAGTGTATGATCTATTCATAAACTGTCAACAATGTCAAACATACACTAGAACATTCAGTCACTTTAACTGTATTGATTTGCAGGAAAGCTATTCTATCCAAAATATTGGATATTTGTGATTCAAATTTTCTTGGTTGGAAGTGTGACATAAATCACTAAGTACAACAATTAAATTTAAATTGCATTTTACTACCTCATTCTAAGCCTGTATTTGAAAGGACTGATGCATCGTAGTGAATATTTCATTAAAATATCAGGTTATTTTTCAAAAATACTGCCATAGTTAAGAATTTTCACACAATGGTATAAAGCATTCCCTTGAAGTGGATTTCCTGAACTTTTATCAAAGACGATATCTGATTTTATATTGGAATAATACTGAAGCAACTGTATTTAAATGAGTCTGTCTTCCTCAGTTTTGTAAGTCAAGTAAATGACCCCAAACTACCCATTTTTGTCCTCCTATAGATAAGAAAGATAACCTGCTTCTTGCATACCTCTACTATAATCTCTAAATGCAAATACAGTATCAGCTGAGGTTGATGGATAGTGCTTTTAAAGGTTTAATTGGGGATGGAATTAAATTGTTTTAGGACTCAGCAAGTTCTGGGAGGAAACCTACATATTTCTAGAATAAGTGACATTTATTTCTTTTAAATGCACAGTCACTGGGAGACAAGATTTCAGTGGGCAACTTTTTTCGCCTTGAATAGGTCAAATAACTAATTGGCAAGTTACTTATTGGGTAATTGCCAATCATATATTTGATTTGGATGGAAGAAATACTGAATTTAAGATTGCATACCTGTTGCACGCTACCCCTAGAGGAAAACTAAACATTCTGTAATGTATAGTTATGATTAGCTTTCAACAATTCAATAGAATAGGAGTCCCAAGTAGCAAGAATGAGTGTTTCACACTGATAGTTAAGTAGACTTAATTACAAATTTTTTCTTTTTTTTTTTTCTTACTTGAAGGATCAGTTCTCTATTTCAGAATTACCTAAATGGCACTGCAGATTCCATTTTGCTTCTAAGCTCTTCATTTCTTGATGCAAGCAGATCAAATGTTTTTCCCAAATCTTGACTAACACACAGCATTGTTTAAAAGAAAAAACACCACAATTCATTCCCTTAGAAACTTCTACAATTCTAGGATACACATCACAAAATTACTTGCTGCAGGAAAACCTGTTTTTAATATTTCCAACCTTTCTACCTTGTTTTAAGGCACAAACATTTCCTGTTATATCTCTTACCCTTCTTCTATTTTTCCCTTCAAACAGCTTTAGATGAACCACAAAAATATATTTGCATATTATGCTGAAACACGACAACAGAAAAAAGCTAGAGCAGTTTTTTTATCATAAAGAAGAAAATATTACTATCAGTGGTTGCTTAAAAGTCCATAAACATAACCTATTCTCTGCATTCATAAAATCTACTCCCTAACAATGTCATCTATTTAAAGACTACCCTTTCAATCACTACAGGATCACTTCTTGAAGAAGAATTCCCTTTTGACAAAAGATTTCTTGAGTTTTATTGGAAACACTCGGAACTGCAAGGAGGCGGGCCTGCAGAAGCACAAAAGAGTTTTTACGGGACCTGGATTCTGACAGAAAAGAAGACAGAGGTCGGTAACATCACTCTGTTCAAAATTCAACATAAAAATATCTTGGTTATCCCCAGATACACCGAGAAAGATTTTCCAACATGCAATTGTATCATTCTTTTCTTAAAATTGATGTCTTTAGCAGACCAGTCAAGGAGAGAAAAACTAAAAAAGGGCTGATATCATTTTAACTAAGCCTCAAAAGCAGCTCCTGATGTATTAACCTAAAGTCCCACTAAGGTTTCCTTTTCCCATTTAATTTCCACATCTGATGTTTTAGTTTCACTTTCTGAACTCCTGTAATACTTCAGTTGAGTCAGGGAAAAAAAAATTGGTTTGTTGTATATCAGAAGGCAATCACAATTCATAGTTTCATGAATTCATGGAATATCTGCTGTAAGATTAAAAATCAAGGAGCCACCGATGATGTTCTTAAGTTATGCTTAGTGTAGTTCATACTCAGAAAAGGCTGCAGAATTATTTTAGAAATATTCATGAGGACATCTTAAAGAAAGTTACAAATATACTGAGAGAAAAAGGGACGACAGCATACAAAGCAGGCAAATAAAAGCGAACCCATTAACTATCAAAACCAAAACAAAACCTCCAAAGAAACCTACAAACTCTGCAGGCTGAATTTGGTATCAAAGCATAACCTCCATGCTTTTTATATTCTCTTCATACCTAACGATGCTTACAGAGGCTCACAGAGCTCTCAAGGAAATAAGTTGTTACTGTCTAAATCCCAGCACACAGCAGGTGGAAGGCAGAAGTGCCTTGCAGAAAGAGAATCCAAATATAGCAGGATTTCCTTCGTTATCTCAACCGCAAAGGAGGCCACTATTGCTGCTACATAATCTACAACCTCCATCCACTGCAGGGCCACTCTGACCACGCTGACATCTATCCGTCGAGATATATATCCACTAAATATTCCAGCTGACACCAGGGTGAAGGCGGGATGAAACCCTACGGAACATTTAACAGAACAGAAAAGAAAAACATGAAGGTGCTTTCCACACGACTGTCCTTGGTATAAGAGTCATTCTCAGTTGGTTATTTTGCAGAAGATAAATTAAAGCAAAAAGGTAAACAGCCGACAAGTGTCTGGAAGTGCCAGAACAGAAACACGAGTGCAGCAGGAGGAAACAACGGCACAGCAAAGGCACCGCCAGACTTGAAAGCCACGTAAGGCCACCTATTTATTATTTCAAGGAGAGAATTATTTCTAAATAGCAAAGCAGCTATGAATATCCATAACAGATATAAACACACATCTCTTTTGATGAAGGGGACTGAAGGGGAAATGATTCATGCAGAAACTTTTGTTAAAAACCAACGCCCACTCCTTACTGCTATTGTTACTTTGTTTACATGCAACTTGTAATTTTCTTTTTTTGCCCTTTAAACTTGAAAAATGTAAATAGGTTTATAAATTGGCTAAGGCCTGCCTCAGCAGAGTCAATTCAAAGGGTCTCAATGGTGCTACTGAATTCAAGGGTGGTAAGCACACGATCGTACGCTGTACTGAACAGAGACAGGCTTGTTCATATCCTTATGAGACACTGCATTAGGATAGAAATGCAATCAAAGCACAGTCCAAAGTTCACAGAACTCAACCGAAATATTCCCATCACCTTAAGCAAACTCTGGAACACGCACCCGGTTAGCGCTGGAGTCGGTACCAGAAGCACAAAGTGATCCTTGCAGAGCTCTCAAAGTATCTCACGGCGTAATTTGCGCGGGGCAGTACGCCGCACGCGCCGTGCCCGCAGCCAGGGAGGTACGCCCGTGCAGACTTTCACGCAGAAGAGCAGGCACTAATCAAGGGCCAGATCAAAGGCTCTTTGAAAACCTGACATAAATTGGCTACCTTAATTTTCCCTAATATCGTCACTTATTTCTGCCTCCTTTACACTAAACCCTTTTAGAACTATCCAAGTGGAATTCTTTCACCACCTCAGGGATAATACGCATATCTAGACACTGTAGAATTATTTTCAACAATACCAACGAAACACGTAATTTCTTCCTGTCAGAAGTTGGAAGAAACATATCACCGTTCTTGAAAACGTAACTCAGCTTGACATATCTGAAGGCAAAAAAAGGAGTTAGTTTATTAATCTGGATATTTTATTTAATTTTCTTTGGGTTATAAATAAGCAGCAAGTTAATACTGTTTTCAGCTTTTGACAGTTCTAATGTTAATTACATGTACTGGATTTTATAAATCAATACTTCTTACATAAAGTGTTATTTAACTTGCCAAGTGTAGCAATAGATCAATGCATTTAATGTTCTTGCTAACATTGATGGATGACATACATCAAAAGAATATGTAAAGGAAAAATAAAAGATTTATTTCTAAGTCAGACAGGGTTAAACCCCAGTTAGGCAGAGAGGGAACAATATTTTGAAAATAATGTCATAACTTTATTAAGGTTTGAGAGATTTTCTTCTTGGTTTGGGTTGGGGGAGGGGGTTGTTTGTTTTGTTTTTTTCTTTTAATGCCAAGGACAAAAAAGTCCTTTTACATAAAAAATTATCACCAGGAGGAGCTTTTTAAAGTTACAAAAGGTTAAGGAATGTAAGCTTGAAGAAATGTTATCCTTTGGAAGTAATTCATGTAATCATTATATTTTAGTGCAATTTATCTGACTAGCAAATAAGACGACACCTCTGTGTATATCACCACAACATTAAATTAAGCACAAGTAGGCACTACTTCATTAGCGCTATTACTCTGGACAATAGTCATGAGAAGCAACAAGTAATGACTACCATCTACTAGTCGTGTTAGCATGTTTATGAAATAATTAACAGAAAGGAATAACTGAATAAGAGTGATGAGTCTAATTCAAAGAAAAATGACCATTTATAAACTTTCCCTCAAACCTGGTTGGAAAAAGATGACATTCTATTTAACCAAAACTTTTCAAGGGAAAAAAAAACCCAAGAAACCACCTAGTCTACTAGCTAAGGCATGTTTTGGAGGACAGTGTAATACCTTTAGCGAGACTGCCAATTAATGCAAGAAAAATCAGGAGATTGTCTTCAGAGTTTGAGTATTTTGTCTCAAACAATCAGACAAAAGACTTCCCTTTGCAAAAATGATTCTAAATTGTTAAAGGGAGCATGGGTATAAAAAAGAAAGTGGATCAACTGCTTTAGGTAAAGCTTGGTTTTGTGGGTTTTTAAGTTTGGTAGAATTTTGTGCAAGCCCTCAGTCACCTTCAAGAGGTGAGAAAATATTATCCAAGTGAAATGTGGGAATTCTGCACATGTAACCTTTCTGGCCAACTTTAAACTGTGAGCCAGAAGACAGGAAGATTCCATGTGTGACTGGCCAAGAGACAGAACACAGAACGCTTACCTGCAGAAATACAACATAAAGCTTAGTCCCATCTCACTGGTGCATAATATCCAAGGCGTCAAAGAAGAAAACCACCACCGCCCTTCCTGGCTGTTACACTTATTATACTATATAATAATCCTACTCTCATGCAATCTGCCTCAGAAGTACCTGATCATTTCTGCTGGAGCCTAATCAAATAAATACAGATTGTCTTACTAAATCCTGCTTAGCCGCATTAAACAAATGAAGAGCAAACCTCTACTCTTTGCTTTGAATCTAGACAACCTGCCAGTAATGAAGATGTATATTCAAAAGGAATACGGAAGAAGGCTGAACCTTGATTCACGAGAACTCCTGTATCCTGTAAGAGGTAAGCCCTGGGCGGGTTTACAAATTCTATAAAATTGCTCACTGGGGGAAACAATCTGCCAACTTAATTCTCTGCAGGATTTCAGAAGTCCCCCCAGTCATCTGTTTCTGCTGTATACATTCACATACATCATCAAGCTGACAATTTAGAAACTGGACCAGATGGACGTATAACCCAAAACAGTGTTGTTGGTTAAATCTAAAAGCTATTAATCAAAATAATTTCCTTTATTAAACTCCGTGGAAGAAAGGGATAAATATAGTCGACATATTACACCTATTTACTGGGAGTTGACACAGGACAATACAGACTGAGGTTATTTTCACCAGGCTCCACCAGAGAAAAATGTTGACAGCAGAAATGTTCTTCCTAAAAAAAGCAGATTATTGCAGGACAAAGAAAGCAGGAAAGGGCATCCTAAATGCTTTCCTTGAGTAGATAAGGCACGTTATTCTTTTTTCCCCAGAGGAAATAATTACGTTCTCTGAAAGGACTGGGAACTTCAAGTTATTTTTAAACAAAGAGCAGTTCTTTGTCCAACATGAGCACTAAGTTGTTTTGGGAAAGCAATGGGTGGCACTAGAGCAAGGAAGGTGGGTTCACCTTTCACCAGACACTTAATGCCAGCCCAGCTGGAAAACAGCCTGGGCTATTTGAAGTTTAAGATCGACAAATACTACTTACTGCTCTCCTCCTTCTGGCTCTGCAATTCCTCACATATTTAGACACAGGACTAAAGAATACCAATCTGTACTTCCCGGTTTTCCAACTTCAAGCTTTACAATAAAATCATTTGTCTGAAGTGCATACAAAAACGTTCAAATTCTAACAACAGAAAAAACTTGTACAAACAAATTACAGAAATAGAGTCCTCTAGAAATACCTGCCAAATGGTTTCTTAAATATCAAAGGGGATTTACAAAAGAAAGGAAAGCCTGTAGCTATTTGCTTAACAGACAAAAGCAAAGATTTGTATAGATTTTGGAGGAGGTCACCGAAGCAGAACACAGTCGTTATCGTTCGGTGATATTCTGATACACTATTGCAAGCAAACCTCATTGGCAAGTCCTAAGGGTGAGGCAGCAGGCAGGTACCCCGGCACAGCAGAAACGACAGCGAGCCCAGGAAGCCAAGCCAGAGGCCAGCCTCCTGCCGGCCTCCCCGCGCTCCGGTCTTTTGCTGCCCGCCACGGTGCGAGGAAGAGAAAAAGAAGGGAAAAGTGCATGTAATGTACCTGTTCTTATTCTTAAAGGAATTAGCATCTGAATTGCAAAAAATAACGGCCCCAAATATAATGTAACTTTCTGTGGTATATTCCAAATACCCTACAGTTATTATTTTAAGGGGTTGTCGCATTAGGTGTTCAAAAAACGGGCAGAGGTGGCACTTGGGGACATGGTTCAGTCTGGCCTACCCTTGACTGGTTTAGTGTGGACTTGGCAGTGTAGGTTAATGGTTGGACTGGATGACCTTAAGGTCTTTTCCAACCTGAACGATTCCATGATTCTATAAATACTCCTATTCGTACATTTTTCACAATCAGAGCTTTCACTGGTGTAGTTTATGAAAATGTCTTTTACTAGCATAGATTTTAAAATGCTTGTTTACAGAGCAGATCTTCTGAAATACATGCTCAGCCAGAAACCCTGTCTGACTTAAAAGTAAATAGACTGAAATGCTAGCACATTATTAGTGGCTCATTAAGAAGCAAATGAGTTGTTTTTCTCTTTGTTTAGCAATACTCAACAGGTACTTATTTTGACACCGGTTTAATGTGAAAACACATTAAATTAACATGTTCCATGGTTACGGGAAACATTTATTGGACAAAGGCCAATACAGCAGCCTCACAACAAAAATGATAATTTTAAAATTAAATAACGTACGTTAAATTACATAAGACACTTCTCTACACGTGCTTCTTGCCAACCAATTGTACCTGACAAAAGCTGATGATTTCTATCCTTCTGCTTCGTATTTACAATGTACCTCAAATACAATTTATTGTAAAAACAAATAAAATTAATGAAAATAGTATACATGACAAAAAAGCATGACCAGAGCTGACCTTCTCCTCTGCGTATGCAACCAAATCATGACAATTGTGTATGCAAAGTTCAACAACAACCTCTGTTATTGCTCTTCGCTATGTATAGAAAACAAGTTCTATTAATAAACAGTCAGCCTAAATTAGCATTCACATAGTATTTATTTAGTTTAGACTTTTGGCCTTTAGTTTATATCAGCTTAGAAGCAAACAGAAAAAGTGCAATAATGGCAAATAAAACAATGAAGCAGTAAAAATAACATGATGGATTAAAATATATTGTTCTAGTTGGGAGTCAATAGGGCAAGTGCTTTATAAAAATTATGTTTTCCTTTGACAAAATCAGTGCAATACTTGCTGGTACAAGCAATAAAAAAAAAAAAAAACGCTCCCATAAAACACTTCCGACTTCACTTTCCATTTTAATGGCTGCAGGCAAAAATTCAGAATGCATTTGTCAAGTTGATATTATCAACACAACAGGGGCATGCCTGACTTGTTCTACATTTGTTCTGAAAGTTCACTTTTAGAGGCCATCAGCCAAGGAAGGAGAACACAGGAAACCGAAATCATTCATACCAGGCAGACACAGAAATATACCTTCGAATATTTAAGAGAAGTTTCAGTAAATATTATCACATATTACTCTGCAAGGCATCAATCACATTCAGTTTAACATTAAAGACCAACCAATCTGAAAATGAAAGGTGATTCGCACTCTCTCTTTGCTCAGTTTAATGAGACATCCTAGTCTGATTTGTGACAACTAGTGCCAACATCTTTAACTTTTTTCCTGACATCCGAAATTGATTTCAAAGACAGATACTTGAGAAGGCAAGAATACTACAGAAAAGGACATAAGAAAAGCACTGTAAAAGAGAAAATCAAATGCATAGTCTTAGCTCCCCGCCTGCCCTGCTTTGGTACTTAAAAATCATCTGCATCATTAAGCAACTGAAAGAAAATTCCATTAAAAATTCCTAAATATATCTGAACTTTATTCTTGTACATTTGAAATAAATACCAGCCAACTATATTAAAAACAATTCTTTGTTGTAATACATTGTTCATGTGCTATTTTTGTTCTCTTTGATAACACCTGGACAAGGTTTTTTCACATACTTAGTGAAAGCCTATACTTTCATGAAAATACATGCCCTTATGCATGTACTTTTTTCTATTTTAATGTCTTCAATTTCTTCTTTTCCAGGCTAAAATTTATAGAGAACAAATATATTACGGAGATCAGAAAAACAATCGCTGGAGTTGTGTAATTCTATGATTTGCCCATAGATTGAATGAATGCATAGTTAGTTGACCTAACTGATAAAAACAATATTCACAAAATTATTTAAATGTAAAAAGAAAGCCCAACTCCTTATTAAACATACACTGGCTGCAAATGCTATGAACCCTATGCATTGAGGCTCTACATTAAAAACCGCTACAGAAGACTATTGTTGTAACAGGAATTACTGTATCATTTAGTGGATTTCAAGGATAACATAGAATGGGCTTGGGCTGCTTATTTTTAATGAGGGCACAATGATATTAGGGCAAGAAGCTTCACTTTGGCACCAATACAATGCTTGTAAGAGAGGGATTTCAACAGCTGTCCTGTACAGATGGTTGCTTTTACTTACAAAGCTTTGAACTGAAGAAAGATTAAATCTATGGATGAGGGACCTTTACCTCGCTGCTTTGCTTGCATAGTTGGCAGAGAAAAAATAGCTAAGATAGATTATAATAAATGTCTTGTTTATATTATGCACACAGTATTTCTTAAATGTACAAAACACAATGTTTATTTGATTTTAGCAGCATGCGGTTTCCACTGAGCACCCTGGAATTCTTCTGAAAAAATAAGAAATTTCCGCTTTCCTGAATTCCCATCAGAATGTCCAGTATTAAAAAAATGGAAAAACCAAATACAAATTATACAGAGGAAAAGAATCTGAGTCAAAGTCAGAAGTAATCAGTATAAAAGCAGAATGCCACACGTTGCATGACTAATGGTATATGCCTTTGTTCCAAGGTAATTAATCCTATTTTTCATTGCAAGGTGAAAGTCTGGAAAGAGTCATTCCTGGGAAAAATGCTGGGTTTCTTTAAAACAAGGCATAATAGTGAAGGATTCGATTTGCTGTGTTGACATAACCTTAGCAAGCAGCAATAAACACTATTCAGTGAAAACATATTTGTATCAAGTTCACAAAACTCAGAAACTACTGTGCAATTCCGACCTGAGGTTTCATTTTTGAAAGCCAGTCTCCATCCTGACTTTCTAAAGATCTTGGTGAATTCCTTGGTTTACTACAACTGTTCACTGCAAATCGTTCTCCGATAACAGCTGTTCACATGTCACAAGAATATCCGCATCAGTAACAGAGGTTTTTTGAGCCTTAAAATTGGATATCAATATACTAGATAAAGAAACTACAAAATCCATGGCAGCTATTGCACAGCTTCCAGCCTTTTACTTCTAATGAGTGCTTCCACTGCACACCAAGGTTCAAAGGAAATATTAATTAATTCTATTCTGGCAGCTATATACTATTCGGAAGCCAAAATGGATGGAATCTGTGGACTTCTAAGGTGGAAATTTATTTTAAATTGTACAAGAGAATTTGATAGCTCTAAATTCTCTCAAGAGATTTAAAACTGAAACTGATCTTTTGATTTTATCAACTGCATTTATAAGAGAAATACCTTTTTAGAAACAGAAGTGAAACAATACAACGCTACTGAAGCACAAAAACCAAAATTCTGGAAGTCAAGGAACTGAAGCTCTTTGCGTATTCTTTGGAATTATAAACTTTGCTGGAAACTCAAAACCATACGTTCATCATCTTCTTACAGTAACCAAATATAAAATGTACCCAACAAGCAGAAAGGGAGAGAAGAGCAAACGCTTTGAAATACAGTGTGTTTCTTGGTCTCAGTGGGTCAAGATATTGGCACAGCTGATCTGTAACTCTAGAGAAGAGAGGCACACTAGCAATTTCCTTTCATTTATGATCACCTTTCACATGAGCAGGCTCTGGATCAATTGTTTTCATGGTAACTGTTGCAGGAGGCCACATACTAGCTCCTTCCTTTTAGAAAACACACTTGGAGGACTCAGTTTGTGGCATCAGCCTGTTGACAAATGATTTTTGGAAATGTGACAAGTCATGGTTACATCTTCATGTGTATCCTGTAGGATACAAACCTCAACGGATCACCCACCTCCTCCCCTTCCTCCCTCAGGGGAATGTAACTCATTTCAAGATGGCCGGATTGTAAAGCTTGTTTCTAAAGTCCCCATATTCATATCATTTGAAAATCTGAATTAAGAAACCGTTCGAAATTACTTTTTTCTCCTCATTGTTCAGTGAGAGAATATTGCACCACATTTTCCTTGTGGTCTATGTAACTCAAACGTGCTTTTTGGAATGCCAGTGTGCCTTCAGACACCAACCATCATCGATGCCGCTACAGGATGCATCACATAACTGCGCCTGCTTCATCTCCTGAGCATCCACCGCCTGGGAACAGCCGTCCACTTGCATTCCAGCGCTTACTGAACACTTCTGAAAGTGAACTGCGAGACACGGAAGGTGCCAGACATCAGGCCTAAACAAAAACACCCACAGCAACTATGCAAATAAAAAGAGCAATCTCCTCTTCTTTTCTCAAGGTGTCATCAGGGATAAGAATTATAAAGTATTTATATCGCACACTTCTAATAAACAGTGCTGGATCATTAATGAAAATAAGCTTCATGAGTTCAAGATAAATCTTTGTATACGCATTATTTTAAACTGTCATACTTCATATAAATCGATGCAGTTTTTCATTTGTAATGGCAATAGTGGTTTTGCCATATATTTCTCCATGCAAAAAGACTTGAACTATTCATTCTTGTTCAAGCTTTCAAAAAAAATTTACCCTCAAGCACAGATCAGCATAAAATATTTCAGCTCAAAATTCAAGCAACAAAGAAAAGGTTTTCCACAGCCAAATATGCCCTATAAAAAGTAAATGTATGTAGGCAAAATAAATTGGAGTAGCTACACCATCATAATGATACGGGTTTATGTAATAAGATACACATTTGGTGCTTTCATTCTTCTTAACACTTGCTCTCTGGTCATTACTGAACACTGAAAATAGACTTTTTTTCTCTCTGAAAATTAGACATTCCAGTCACTAAATTATAAAGTTCATAAAAATTAATAATTTCTTTCATGGGAACCTTTGTTGGTCTAAACAAGCTATTTAAGGGAAAACGTAGTAACAGTGTACCAGTTCATCCTTCCCTATTGATACAATTCTTAGAAGTTACATACATATATATCTATATCTCCATATATCTCACACGTTATGAATCCATTTATTCCATAATTCCATTATGAATCCGTTTATTATCAAGGGTTGAAATTACACATGAATTCATAAAAATAAAAATCAGCATGGATCAACAGGGTGCACAGTATGCAGTTCTGCCACTGCTTGAAAGAAATCAGTAGTAAACCAAAAGATGCTACTCATGCTTTGGAGAACACACGGGTAAGCTGTAAGAAAACCAGCTCCATCAATTTAAGCTGCAAACAAAGAGAAAATTGGTGGATACACTGTGTACATTTAACGCAAGAAAGGCATGGTAAGGGGGCTGACTGTGAAATACGCTGGGTGAAAACAGGTTAGCCGGAGATCAGTGGAGAGATGGAAAACAGAACGAGAATGATCAGAAGCAGACTGTGTCCCGAAGGACGCACTCATGTCTGAGATGAAAAAAAAAAAAGAAACCAAGAAACAAAACTTGAATTCTTAAAAGAACATGGGCTCAAATACGCCAAAATAGTAAGAAGTGTCATGGTAAATTTTCACAAGAATTTTTATTCTCTGTCTTTAATTCTCCTAAAATACACAATGTACATCACAACTTCCCTTTGCTTTAACCTGAGACCCAGAACTTTGCATGGAAATTCCAAAATCCATACAGAGTCTACTATGCAACTACATTCTGTTCATGGTGTCTCTGGTTAAAAAATAGTGAAAACTAGTATGCCATTGAAATCAGTGAAAAATAAGCATGCATGAAATAGAAAATATGGATTTACAAAACTAAGTTACTTTTTATTTGCTACTTATTTCTTCAAACTTTACAGACTGTCAGATGATATATACACGCATCCATTAGTAACTACTTTAATTATGGTGACAACTAAAGGCAGACTGGTAAGGGGTTTTTTTTTTGTTTCTTCTCCCCTTTTTAACTTATTTTCCCCCAGCTACCATAGCCACTGGAACCTACTATGACCATTCCTTTCTCTGTAGTACACACCTTCAAATCCACCCTTGAAGGCAGAATTTCCCAAGAGACTGTAAATTATTTCCAAATTAGAGCCACAAACTGCACTGATATAAAAAGTTCATTTCTTCAACCCTGCTCGAAAAGCAAACTTTCCTCCCTCTTATCTCTCCTTGCCACCCAAATAATAGATGACAGTCATCTGTTTTATGTTAGACTATCATTCCCAGATCTCTCATGCTGATTCATTCTCAGCTTTCACAGCACAGGCACAAGTTGTCAGGAAGAGCTATGCTGGCTTCATCCCCCATATGGAATCCAACAGCTGGAGTTCATTCATTAGAACAAGCAAAAAATCCTGATATAAATTAAAAAGAGCGAAACAACAGTGACAAACACACCTTCCAGTATCTCAAGTAGAGTGCTGAAAAGTATTGTAAAGCAAGCACATTGTTCTGCCAGCCAGGGCATTCATAAAGTCCAATTACCTATGGACATGCTTGTGTCTACGAGATCCCCCCATTTTCAAATTCCAGTAACCCCAAAGTCTCCCGCTTCATCCATGACTCCATAAGTAACAATACTCCAGTCCCACACATAACACCAGATCCCCCCGCGTCCCTACACCCTCATTCTTCAGCAAATCTACAGTTTGCTCTGTCTCAGCCCTCGTCCCTCCCACTGGCACTTGATCAGGCTACAGAAATCCTGAGATGCAGCAGGAGGTTCCTGCTTGCCGTTGGGCCAGCTAGTATCCATACCCCGGCTGGCAAGCCACTAAGTCAACCACAAAGACAATTGCTGAGATTGTATTTAATGGAAGCAGTAATTTGGGTCCTCTATACTACCCAGCTACTAATTTTCAGGACCTTACGGAAAATTAAAATTGAAGCTTCTACCTTAGAAAAATGATAATCAAATTATTTTCCTATCTCTAGGTTATTCTTAAACAAATCCAATTATGTAACTAAAATTTATTAACTGAACTATCAACTTTAACCGCTCGTTCAAATTAGCTACTATGAAAAGCTTTATCCTTAAAATAATCAACTTTCTGCTAGTAACATTTAAATATAGTCTGTACTACTTCACAAGTGATATTGATGATTTAACGGTTTCATATAGTAGCATGGAATTCTTTTAACAGTTTGGATTTTGTTGCTTCCATAAAAACAACTACTTTAACACAAGATTTCAGAAGTTTAGCTATTATCAAAATACTGAGAAAATCTAATACAGTATTATTTAGTTTCAGAAGGGGAAACTGCTAGAATAAGGAAGCTTATTAAAAGGGCCAGACAGGTTAAACAGCAGGATAGAGAAAGAAGGCTAGTAAGAAAAGATCCTTCAAAACACTGAAGTTCAAATGATAGAAAGAAAAAAAAAGAACACAAAGCCTTGTGTGGTAAATGTAAAAAAACACAGTGAGGGTATCCCCCCCCCCCCCCCCCCCCCCCACAAAACCTAAAAAAAAAACAACACAAGAGAA